TGCACCCCTCTGGATGTATTGACGGGGCCACATCAGCTCCTTCTCCAGAGCAGTGGAAGGCAGGGGTTGTGTCCTGTCATCACGCATGTGGGCTGGAAAGGAAAAGGTCAGCGAGCTGCTAAGGAGAGCGCAGTGTCCTAAGGGTTAGATACGTGCACCTGATAAAGTCCATTAGAACCAAGTATGGCGATGATAAAAGAAAAATCTACATTTATAGATAATGCATAGAGAGGACAAACTCCCTTCCCTGAGTTGGCTGTTTCCTGTGTTTCGAGTCCTGTCATAGGATTTGCTACTCTGCATGCTGTAGGAAGTGAAGCATTCTACCCAGACACAGATCAGACATGGATCAGGCTTGCTTTCTTTTCTTTTCTTCTCTTTTTTTCAGAATTAAAAAATGTTGAATGTAGTTCACACAGCATCTGGATCATTTTAGCTCCTTCACCACCAAACCTGGGGACAGGGACTGCTTCAGCTTTTCCGCCTTCTCTCTGTCCGGAATGACCAAGGTGTAAAGGTATCTGCCACATCGAACTTTACACTTCACGTTATCCTTATTTTTCTTTCTTTTTTTTTTTTAACCAACTGAGTTTTATTTGCTGTATAAACGAAACCACCTACCATCTTTCAGATGAAAAAATAGTAAATTTGAATAAAGGTATTACAAGATCAATTAGAGCCCAATAAAAATTAGCTTCGGGGAGGGAACGTAATTCTACTCAATTAAGGCAAGCATGTTTATAGACCACAGATCAGTTTATTTTCAACACCCATCATGCCATGAATTCATAGGGAATAGGTTCCAGTAGCTCAGGCTCCTTTCCATTGGTTCTCACAAAGTGTGCTTCTCTGGGTGGAGCAGGTTGGCGCTTTAGTTGAACCCAGGTACCTTTCTCTTTGGCTTCTTTCTTTTTCTGGTCATTTTCCTTCACACGTTTTAGGAAGCTATCTCTGCTCTTAGAATGTTTAATATGCTCAATACGCACATTGATTCTCTTGGCAAGAATCTTGCCCTTAACTTGTTTGTTCACAACAATGCCAACAGCATGCTGGGTAACATTGTAGACTCTTCCAGTTTTGCCACAGTAACATTTGTGGGGCATTCCTTTTTGAACAGTACCCATTCCCTTAATGTCTACAATATCACCTTTCTTGTAGATTC